TGTATTTTTGTTCGTTATAAACAATATTTTGAAAGCATAACACCCTCCTCACTATAGTAGTTTGAAGTATAAATTCCACGAATAAACCGAAACCCGTTAGTTCTCAAGATTTAGGTGAAGATATCTCAAAGAATAAAGAAGATATGTCAGATATTAAGCCTTTATTTTAAAACTGAAAGAATGAAATTTCAAATGGCGTACAACATTTTATAAATTAAATTGTCTTGGCGCTGTTATAAGGTCTCGAAAAGAGCCAATTTGTCGTTTTTCAGGACACGATATCTCAAATCCTTGATGTGATGCAATAAGTATGAGGTCATATTCGGATTCAGAACGGATCTCAGGTTTTAGACTTTTTTTTGTCGGTCGGTGTAATTTATAAACAGTTTAAAAAAATAGTGTTAATTTTATTATTATTTTTTAAACAAAAAAAACTTAAACAAGATTTACAACAAAAGCCTAAAAATGTTATTAACATATTTATAAAAAAAATCTAGTATATAATTAACATAAATTACAATATATGACTTACTAATAAATATTTATAAACAAATTACCGCAATATAGCAAAAACAACAACAAAAAACAACTAAAATATACCAACAAACATAAATAATTAAACAGTTAGAAAAATATTATGTGTGATTAAATGATGTTTAACAAATTTATGTAATTTTTATTATTTTACTTAACAATTCTTGTTGTTTGAAATGAACAAAAAAACAACAACAATTTGCAAAATTTATGTTTTGTAAAAAAACAATAAAAAAGCACTTGATGCTTAAATAATCTTGGAATAATTAATTAGATTCATGTATGCCACCACAGCCTTAAATCAAGTAATATGTACACTGAGTCTCTCAAGTTAGTCAGTGGGGTGTCAAAATGTCAGCCAAAAACACAAGTCTTAGTATTTATAACAACTTGTTGTAATTGTTTGCTGGTTTCTTTTAATACTTTTTTTTTGTCATTTTATCGTAAATTTTTATACAGCATTTAGGTGTGTGTCACTGTGTTAATTTCATTAAATTTATTCCAAAAAAAAACCCCAATGAGGTTTTGGCAAATTATGTTTAAACTATTTTTACCAAAACTATTTTTAGTTTCCATTAAATGCACTAGTTTTTGTTGTGGTTTACTTTTGGTTTCTTTTGTTTAATTGTGGTTTGTTGTATTTTAATTATTTTAAATAAATTGTTGCCTTTCTTTCATGCGGTTAAAAGGGTGCCACAGTGGTAGCACAAAAAAAAAAGACAATACAGATTTTATCTGTTCATAATGATGATCATCATAACATCATTATCATCATCTTTTGCATTGTAATCATTATTGTGATTACCACACACACTTGTGCTGGGAATTAAACAAAGATGATTTTGTAATGAGAAACTTTTTTGTTTGTGGTATTTTGTGGGCAGGAGCTGGAAGAGGGGGTTGATCTTTTATTATTATAAAATTAAACATCAAAATAAATATAGTGATTGCTGTAATACATTAAAATTAAAACGAAAATTCTCACACTGGATAAAAGATAATGTTTTAGTATAATAGTTTAGGGTTTGTGGTGAATAAGATATTTTCATGCAAATTTTATGGTAATCTTTAATTTATATGATAATCAAGTTTTAATGATAATCATTTGGAAAATTTAAATTTCTTATAATAAACACTTAAATTTAAACAATACGTACTATAATGTGTTCGGATTACCTAAATATATAAAAAAGTCAAAGGTACTGACTAATTGATTATCGCACAGCCTAAACGGTTTAAACTAGAATCATGATATTTAGACAGTAGATGTAGTTTTTGGTAATGTAAATCAACTAAGAAGCGATTTTGGGAATTTCTAATATTTAGGGGAAACTACAGACTAGATTATAGACTAGACTATCGACTATAATATAGACTAGACTATATAGTAGACTAGACTATAGGCTAGACTATAGACTAAACTATAGACTAGACTATAGACTAGACTACAGACTAAACTATAGACTAGACTATAGGCTAGACTATAGAATAGACTATAGACTAGACTATAGACTAGACTAAAGACTAGACTATAGACTAGACTATAGACTAGACTATAGACTAGACTAAAGACTAGACTAAAGACTAGACTATAGACTAGACTATAGACTAGACTATAGACTAGACTATAGACTAGACTATAGACTAGACTATAGAATAGACTATAGACTGGACTATAGACTAGACTATAGACAGACTAAAGACTAGACTATAGACTAGACTATAGACTAGACTATAGACTAGACTATAGACTAGACTATAGACTAGACTATAGACTAGACTATAGACTAGACTATAGACTAGACTATAGGCTAGACTATAGACTAGACTATAGACTAGACTATAGACTAGATACTACCATAGACTAGACTATAGACTAGACTATAGACTAGACTATAGACTAGACTATAGACTAGACTATAGACTAGACTATAGACTAGACTATAGACTAGACTATAGACTAGACTATAGACTAGACTATAGACTAGACTATAGACTAGACTATAGACTAGACTATAGACTAGATAGACTAGACTAGACTATAGACTAGACTATAGACTAGACTATAGACTAGACTATAGACTAGACTATAGACTAGACTATAGACTAGACTATAGACTAGACTATAGACTAGACTATAGACTAGACTATAGACTAGACTATAGACTAGACTATAGACTAGACTATAGACTAGACTATAGACTAGACTATAGACTAGACTATAGACTAGACTATAGACTAGACTATAGACTAGACTATGACTAGACTATAGACTAGACTATAGACTAGACTATAGACTAACTATAGACTAGACTATAGACTAGACTATAGACTAGACTATAGACTAGACTATAGACTAGACTATAGACTAGACTATAGACTAGACTATAGACTAGACTATAGACTAGACTATAGACTAGAGATATACTAGACTATAGACTAGACTATAGACTAGACTATAGACTAGACTATAGACTAGACTATAGACTAGACTATAGACTAGACCATAGACTAGACTATAGACTAGACTATAGACTAGACTATAGACTAGACTATAGACTAGACTATAGACTAGACTATAGACTAGACTATAGACTAGACTATAGACTAGACTATAGACTAGACTATAGACTAGACTATAGACTAGACTATAGACTAGACTATAGACTAGACTATAGACTAGACTATAGACTAGACTATAGACTAGACTATAGACTAGACTATAGACTAGACTATAGACTAGACTATAGACTAGACTATAGACTAGACTATAGACTAGACTATAGACTAGACTGTAGACTAGACTATAGACTAGACTATAGACTAGACTATAGACTAGACTATAGACTAGACTATAGACTAGACTATAGACTAGACTATAGACTAGACTATAGACTAGACTATAGACTAGACTATAGACTAGACTATAGACTAGACTATAGACTAGACTATAGACTAGACTATAGACTAGACTATAGACTAGACTATAGACTAGACTATAGACTAGACTATAGACTAGACTATAGACTAGACTATAGACTAGACTATAGACTAGACTATAGACTAGACTATAGACTAGACTATAGACTAGACTATAGACTAGACTATAGACTAGACTATAGACTGGACTATAGACTAGACTATAGACTAGACTATAGACTAGACTATAGACTAGACTATAGACTAGACTATAGACTAGACTATAGACTAGACTATAGACTAGACTATAGACTAGACTATAGACTAGACTATAGACTAGACTATAGACTAGACTATAGACTAGACTATAGACTAGACTATAGACTAGACTATAGACTAGACTATCTATAGACTAGACTATAGACTAGACTATCTATAGACTAGACTATAGACTAGACTATAGACTAGACTATAGACTAGACTAGACTATAGACTAGACTATAGACTAGACTATAGACTAGACTATAGACTAGACTAGACTATAGACTAGACTATAGACTAGACTATAGACTAGACTATAGACTAGACTATAGACTAGACTATAGACTAGACTATAGACTAGACTATAGACTAGACTATAGACTAGACTATAGACAAGACTATAGATAGACTATAGACTAGACTATAGACTAGACTATAGACTAGACTATAGACTAGACTATAGACTAGACTATAGACTAGACTATAGACTAGACTATAGACTAGACTATAGACTAGACTATAGACTAGACTATAGACTAGACTATAGACTAGACTATAGACTAGACTATAGACTAGACTATAGACTAGACTATAGACTAGACTATGAACTACACTGTAGACTAGACTATAGACTAGGCTATAGACTAGACTATAGACTAGACTATAGACTAGACTATAGACTAGACTATAGACTAGACTATAGACTAGACTATAGACTAGACTATAGACTAGACTATAGACTAGACTATAGACTAGACTATAGACTAGACTATAGACTAGACTATAGACTACACTATAGACTAGACTATAGACTAGACTATAGACTAGACTATAGACTAGACTAGACTAGACTATAGACTAGACTATAGACTAGACTATAGACTAGACTATAGACTAGACTATAGACTAGACTAGAGACTAGACTAGACTATAGACTAGACTATAGACTAGACTATAGACTAGACTATAGACTAGACTATAGACTAGACTATAGACTAAATTTTTTAAATTTTTAGAAAATTACAAAATTTTAATAATACAAATTTGACCGTCTAACATGAATCATAAAAACCCCTCTTAGGTATTAAAATCAACGCTCTAAGCCCTTTGTTGTTTAATTCATTCAATGAATTTGTAAAAGGAAAAAAACAGCAACAGCTGTAAACCACATTAAACATAATGACAATCACTCCATCAAAACAAAATGATAATTTAAAAATTTTTTATAAATTTGTATTATTTATTTAATTCATTCATTGTAATCAATGCAATCTTAAAGCGAATTAATCATTTTGATAGCTAATCATTCATTCATAGATTCATTCATTCATTTAGTCATTCACTCCTCAATATTCGATTTAGGAAATGAGATTTTGGATAAAATATTGGCACAATAAGCAATGACAGTCATGCCATCAACATTTGGAAAGCATTGACCTAAAAACTCCAACAACATGGGTTGTTTGGTTACAACAGCGGCATAATCATCATATGAAATGAGACCATCTTTGTCGACATCGAATTTGCGAAATAATAATTCAACCATGTCCTACATAAAGTTTCCGAAAAATAAAAGATCGTTTGATCATGAAAACAAATACCTACCGATCTCAGTTCATTAACCTCATCTTCATCGTCTCCGGTGAAAAATTTCTCTACCGCCAAGGTGACATTCTCGCGGGTCAATGAACCCGTGGCACCCACATTATAAATCTTTTAATAATTAATTTTAATTTGCTCAAGTTTAAGTAAAATTTTCTTTTAACTTACCTGATAAGTAAACTTCATTTTCTGTTCCAATTTATTGGACATAAATACCGAAAACAATTTCACCCAGGCTATAGGATCCACTTCCTTTTTCAAATCCGATGTTATTAACATTAATATGCGTTCGATAATTTGCAAATCGTAAACTTTAAAAAGCACCAAAAATAAATTATTAAATTGTTTTTTGGTCATCGATTTGGCCTTGGGTCCATTGGCCAAGACAAACTTGTGATAGACCAAGAGTATACTTTGCACTTCCATTTCGGTGAATTGTGTTTGCTTTGACATTTGTTTGATCAAATCATGGTAAATGTTACTGAAACGCGTATTTTGCACATCATCTAATGTTGCATCAAGTTTATTCATTTTGGTTGCACCGTTGCACACACTCTCACACCTGATTGGTTGAATTGAATTTGTTAGTCTTCGCAAATATTTGAATTTTATTATTCCGTTTCTTTATATGTTTTTGCTTGTAATGACTTTTATTTATCTGATTTTTGCAATTTATTTGGCCAGAAGTAAAAGTAAAAGTTTGTTTATTTCTTGTAAAATTATTAATATTTATATAAATGTTCTGTAATATTTCTTTGTCTATTGTGATAAATGAAAGGTTTTTCAATTGTTTAAATATTCATATGTCCTTGTTCTGTGCTTTTTAACAGAGTGTCTCAAAGTCTTTTTAAAATTCTCATATAAATATACATTTCAGTCTTCAGGTCTTCCGAAAATTGTTAGTTTTATGTTTTTTAACTAATTAACTAATTGCTTATTTGTTTATATTGTTTCTAGAATCCAATATATAAATATTTCCATCATTTAAAACAACATTTTACTAATTTTAGCTAGAATTATTTTATTAGCATTTTAAACCATTAGATTAAATGTCAGATTTTACAACTTAATTATAGCTTGTTTATTGAAAAAAAAAACACTTGGTAATACTAAATGATTATTTATATAATAACACTAGCTATACCCAGTGTGCTTCGCTACCCTCATCGTAATGAAATAAAATAAATATTATTGTAAATGTATATATATCTGCAATATAAAAAAGTCCCCTATTTAAATTTATGTTTATATATTCAATATTTTAGAAAACTCAAAAAGTACCAATGAAGTACGAAAAAGTAACAAAAGACCTCTTTTATTTAATTTCATGTTCCTAAGTTCAATATTATAGAAAATTAAAAAAGTACCAGTTGAAGAACGAAAAATTACCAAAGGGTCCCCTTTTATAGATTCTCATTAACTCCGGGCTCCACATGGTTAATTTCATGTTATAAAAAACACAAAAAGTACCTTTTGAAGAACGAAAAATTACCAAAAAGTCCTCTTTTATATGTTCTCACTTACTCCGGGCTCTACGTACTTAATTTCATGTTTCTAGGTTCAATATTATAGAAAATTCAAAAAGTACCTTTTGAAGAACGAAAAAGTGCCGAAAAGTCCCCTTTTATAGGTTATCACTTAATCTTGGCTGTACTTGCTTAATTTCACGTTTCTAGGTTCAATATTATAGAAAATTCAAAAAGTACCTTTTGAAGAACGAAAAAGTACCCTCTTATAGATTCTCATTTACTCCAGGCTCTATATGCTTAATTTCATGCTTCTAGGATCAATATTATAGAAAATTCAAAAGTACCTTTTGAAGAACGAAAAAGTACCAAAAAGTCCCCTTTTATAGATTCTCATTTACTCCAGGCTCTACATGCTTAATTTCATGCTTCTAGGATCAATATTATAGAAAATTCAAAAAGTACCTTTTGAAGAACGAAAAAGTACCAAAAAGTCCCCTTTTATAGGTCCTCACTTAATTCGGGCTCTACATGTTTAATTTCATGTTTCTAGGTTCAATATTATAGAAAATTCAAAAAGTACCTTTTGAAGAACAAAAAAGTACCAAAAAGTCCCCTTTTATAGTTTCTCACTTAATCCAGGCTCTACATGCATACTTTCATGTTTCTATTTTCAATATTATAGAAAATTTATAAAGTACCTTTTGAAGAACGAAAAAGTACCAAAAAGTCCCCTTTTATAGATTCTCATTTACTACGGGCTCTAAATGCTTATTTTCATGTTTCTAGGTTCAATTTAATAGAAAACTCAAAAAGTACCAGTCGAAGGACGAAAAAGTACCAAAAAGTCCCCTTTTATAGATTCTCATTTACTAAGGGCTCTACATGCTTAATTTCATGTTTATAGGTTAAATTTTATAGAAAACTCAAAAAGTACCAGTCGAAAGACGAAAAAGTACCAAATAGTCCCCTTTTATAGATTCTCATTTAATAAGGGCTCTACATGCTTAATTTTATGTTTCTAGGTTAAATTTTATAGAAAACTCAAAAAGTACCAGTCGAAGGACGAAAAAGTACCAAAAAGTCCCCTTTTATAGATTCTCATTTACCAAGGGCTCTACTTGCTTAATTTAATGTTTCTAGGTTAAATTTTATAGAAAACTCAAAAAGTACCTTTTGAAGAACGAAAAAGTACCAAAAAGTCCCCTATTATAGATTCTCATTTACTCTGGGCTCTACATGCTTAAATTCATGTTTCTAGGTTAAATTTTATAGAAAACTCAAAAAGTACCAGTCGAAAGACGAAAAAGTTCCAAAAAGTCCCCTTTTATAGATTCTCATTTACTAAGGGCTCTACATGCTTAATTTCATTTTTCTAGGTTAAATTTTATAGAAAACTCAAAAAGTACCAGTCGAAGGACGAAAAAGTACCAAAAAGTCCCCTTTTATAGATTCTCATTTACTAAGGGCTCTACATGCTTAATTTCATGTTTCTAGGTTAAATTTTATAGAAAACTCAAAAAGTACCATTCGAAAGACGAAAAAGTACCAAATAGTCCCCTTTTATAGATTCTCATTTACTAAGGGCTCTACATGCTTAATTTCATGTTTCTAGGTTAAATTTTATAGAAAACTCAAAAAGTACCAGTCGAAGGACGAAAAAGTACCAAAAAGTCCCCTTTTATAGATTCTCATTTACTCCAGTCTCTACATGTTTAATTTCATGTTTCTAGGTTCAATATTATAGAAAATTCAAAAAGTACCTTTTGAAGAACGAAAAAGTACCAAAAAGTCCCATTTTATAGATTCTCATTTACTCCGAGCTCTACATGCTTAATTTCATGTTTCTAGCTTTAATTTTAAAGAAAACTCAAAAAAGTACCTGTGTAGAACGAAAAAGTAGCGAAAAGTCCCTTTATTATTAATTTCATGTTTCTATTTCAATATCATAGAAAACTCAAAAAGGACCAGTTGGAGAATGAAAAGTACCAAAAAATATCACTTGATACCGGGGTTCCAAATAACACCCCATTAGGATATTTAGTGTTTCTAAATTTAAAAATTTTATCTAAATTGGATCATTGTGGTTGAATAAAATCAAATTTCACGTTTTTACCCCTTTTGGTACTTTTTTCCTCCCCATTAACGAAATAAAAATTCTATTCCAAAAAGTTGCAACATCGTAGTGGGAGCCTGTTACTATGTATTCATATGTATAAGTTAATAAACCAAAAACAATGTTTTATGAAAAAAGTACCAAAAATAGGTACAATTTTAACCCCTTAAACGTCCGAATATCCAAAAAGTACTAAATTCATATTTTTATTTTTTCGTTAAGTTATGAAGGAGTCAAAAATATTTTTTGAATGTGCACTGGTTTAAAAGATACATGGGGTGCGAAAAAAGTACCAAAATACAGTTTTTACCCGTTTATTCCCTAAAGGGGCCGAATTTTAAAAAAGTACCAGACACCTGTCCGTTTATTTTTTAAATGAACGGCGATAAGCTTTAAGCTGTTTTTGTATCTTTTCTAGTTTAGGAGATATAAGGTTACCGAATTTACCCGTTTTTACCCTTTTTTACCCCCTAAACATTCGAATTTCCAAAAATCCCGTCTTAGTTGATCTATTTGGCGGGAGACCAACCTCCTGTCCAAATTTCAGCTCTTTAGCTACAACCGTTTAGGCTGTGCGATGATGAATCAGTCAGTGAATCAGTCAGTCAGTCAGTCAGTAACGTTAGAATTTTATATATATAGATAATTTAAAGAAACATTTTTACAAACGGCTTAAAGAATGTTTTAACTTGAACTCAGTTTAAGTATTTTGTTTCTAATCCAGTAAAAAATGCATCTGATCAAGTCCGACTTTGTGATATGCCACGCCAGCATTGGGAGAATTTAAAATCATTTTCGATTGGGTGGCTCTATATAAGGTAATGTTGCCATTATTCCCGTTTAAACCATGTCCCAAAAATCGCTGTAAAGCGATTAAAAAATGTCTGGAAATTCTGTAATTTACAAAATAAATGCAAAATTTCAATATATTTTATACTATAAAATTTAAAATGTTAAATCACGACTACAGACTAGGCTACTACAAGTAGTGCAGACTATAGATAAGACTTTATATTATACCATACAACCAGACAACATACACAAACAATAGACTAGACTATGGCCTCTTCAATAGACTAGACTATAGAGTAGACTACAGAGTTGATGATAGACTAATCTATAGACTAGACTAGACTAGACTAGACCAGACCAGACCAGACCAGACCAGACCAGACCAGACCAGACCAGACCAGACCAGACCAGACCAGACCAGACCAGACCAGACTAGACCAGACTAGACTAGACTAGACTAGACCAGACCAGACCAGACCAGACTAGACTAGACTAGACTAGACTAGACTAGACTAGACTAGACTAGACTAGACTATACTAGACAAGACTAGTCTAGACTAGACCAGACTATAGACTAGACTATAGACTAGACTAGACTAGACTATAGACTAGACTGTAGACTAGACAATAGACTAGACAATAGACTAGACTAGACAATAGACTAGACTATAGACTAGACTATAGACTAGACTATAGACTAGACTATAGACTAGACTATAGACTAGACTATAGACTAGACTATAGACTAGACTATAGACTAGACTATAGACTAGACTATAGACTAGACTATAGACTAGACTATAGACTAGACTATAGACTAGACTGTAGACTAGACTATAGACTAGACTATAGACTAGACTATAGACTAGACTATAGACTAGACTATAGACTAGACTATAGACTAGACTATAGACTAGACTATAGACTAGACTATAGACTAGACTATAGACTAACTATAGACTAGACTATAGACTAGACTATAGACTAGACTATAGACTAGACTATAGACTAGACTATAGACTAGACTATAGACTAGACTATAGACTAGACTATAGACTAGACTATAGACTAGACTATAGACTAGACTATAGACTAGACTATAGACTAGACTATAGACTACTATAGACTAGACTATAAACTAGACTATAGACTAGACTATAGACTAGACTATAGACTAGACTATAGACTAGACTATAGACTAGACTACAGACTAGACTATAGACTAGACTATAGACTAGACTATAGACTAGACTATAGACTAGACTATAGACTAAACTATAGACTAGACTATAGACTAGACTATAGACTAGACTATAGACTAGACTATAGACTAGACTATAGACTATACTATAGACTAGACTATAGACTAGACTATAGACTAGACTAT